GAATATATCCCTTGCCTGGGGTCCCTTTGAAAAAGTGCCTGGGTGAAGGGCGTCCTGGTGATTTCTGGTTTTTCGAGTTTTTAACATAAAAAATTCATAACTTTTGTAGATGAACTCTTTTACGCCGAGATGGTCACCATTGGAAACGTCTCGCCCTCCGCTCTCAGAAAATATATACTTTGCCTGGGGTTCATTACAAAAGTGCCGGATGAAGGGTGGGTGAGACTTTTATAATGGGAGTGCTCAAGTAGAGGCTTTTTTACCATTGTAAAACGACGTCTATTTGAGCACTCCCATTATAAAAGTCTCACCAACGCTTCACCCGGCACTTTTTGTAATGATTCCCAGGCAAAGTATATAATTCCGGAAAGCGGAGGATGAGATGGTTCCAATGGTGACCATCTCGGCGTAAATGATATTCATCTACAGAAGTTATGAATTTTTTATGGTAAAAACTCAAAAATCTCCAGAAATCACTGAGCACACCCTTCACCCAGTTAGTTTTTTGGGCGGATCTTAGACATACTATATTTCATCTAAAAACGGAGGAAGAGGCGGTTTCGATGGTCACTATTTCCTTGTACCAGCCACTCACCTACAAAATATATGATTTTTTTTTATTTTGAAAACTCGTAAGTGTCCGGAAATCACTAAGCACATTTTTCATTAGGTATTTCTATGAACGGACTCTATGCAAACAATTTATTTCCTGAAAACAGACGGAAACGTTGTACCACGAAATTTTCCTCGCTGACGTTGCTGTGCAGCTACAGAGGCTACTATTTTTTTCCTCTTGGAAGTTCGCGAGTGCCTATAATTTCTTCTTCTGTCCATTGCACAAACAATTCCCGTACAAATTTCTCCTTTGCTTAACCTTATCTCACTGTTGATTTTTTCTCGGTTTTTGGTGAAGGGGGTCACCTTGGTACCGGCTCAGGGGTGAAAGGGGGGTGAGCAAGTTCTCACATTATCGCACCTATGGTCAGAAATATGGAAAGTAGTACACTGACTGGAGAGGTACATTGGTGACGTCATTGGTTGGCGAACCCAGCGGGGCACTTGTGAACACCGATCTTACCCAGTGGGTTCCGGAACCCACAGGGTTTTTGATGAATACGGCCACAGGTCTTTCAGTTTTTGATGAATACGGCCACAGGTCTTTCAGTGGTGTTTTATAACAGGTTGGCGCAAAAATAATGCCCGTTTTGAAAAGTTTCGCTAAAAGTTATATCTTTGTTTAGTCCTCAAATTTTTGAATATGGTCAAGAGCATTAGGAGCAGCAAACCCTTCGTATTTAGCGCGCACCTTCTCATGCTGATAGTGCAAGCGGGAAGAAAACCATGCGTCAAAAAATTGAAAGGTTTTCTTTCGAAGTTCTCGTTTTTCAAACCTTACAACTCCTTTCAAGTTTTGTTCCTATAGCTGATAATCAGCTCATTTTGTAGCCACAAGCCAGTAGTATATGTTATGTACAGAAAACACCCCAACGAAAGAGTTCTACGAAAAAAAAACAGATAAATTTGCAAAATTGCCCATCTTTTTGGGTGAGGGAACTTGCATACACAATAAGGTTGCCGCCGCCTAGTTAAGGGAGTTCATGAGAGGTCATGAACTGGCGGTAACGCTAAACTGCACTCAATTTGCACCGAAGATGAGCTGGTTCTGCTCACGGTAACTCCGTCGTCATCCTGCAGCATATGAAACCGAATTTTGTTGGAATTTGAATTCAAAGTTCAGTAGTTAAATCAGTCCAATTAGGATAAAAACTTGTATTTAGGGGTATTCCAACACGCTGATTCCGAATATGTTAATCGTTTTACTTGAAACCTGAAATTTTTTTTCTTTTTTGAACTGAAACTTGTTTTCACAAATTTTCCAACAATAATTTCAAAAATTCTATGTAAGGGTTTTCGACATGCTGTTTCCTAAAAAGCTAATGGTTTCGCTCAAAACTTTGGATATTTTTTCCTTCAAAATTTTATTTTTTTTCCAAATTCTCTGTAAATCTGGCAAATTTCACAATAAGGGGTTTTTGACATGCTCTTTCCAAAAGTTTCTATTGTATTTTCTCAAACATAGCAGATTATTTTCGTTTGTTTTCCAGGTTTATCAAATTTGCAGTGAAATTTTCGAAAAAGAGTTTGAAATTCAAAATAGAAAGGGTTTGAGGTTTCAAGCAAAACCATTAGCTTTTTGGGAAACAGCATGTCAGAAAACCCATTATAGAATTTTTGAAATTTTTGTTGGAAAATTTGTGAAAACAAGTTTCAATTCAAAAAAGAAAAAAATCCTAGGTTTCAAGTAAAACGATTAACATAATCGGAATCAGCGTGTTAGAATACCCTTAAATACAAGTTTTTGTCCTAACTGGACAGATTTTACTACTGAACTTTGAATTCAAATTTCAACGAAAATCGGTTTCATATGCTGCAGGATGATGATGAGTTACCGTGAGCAGAACCAGCTCATCTTCGGTGCAAATTGAGTGCAAATTAGCGTTGGTGCCAATTCATGACCTCTCATGAACTCCGTTAACTAGGCGGCGGCAACCTTATTGTGTATGTAAGTTCCGTTCCCCATCTTTTTTAAGCCTGTTTGTGGAAGGATTGAAAGTCCCAAATTATGAAAATTTGGAATTCTTCATGCACTGTATAGCTGAGTTTCGCTGCAAAATATTAGGTTGGCACGGAAGTTTTGTCGCACCATTTTCAAAAATTCATAACTTCTGATTTTTCCAACCAATTTGACTGCTTTTATTTTTATATGAAGAGTAGTTCATGCTCTTTATAATGACATCTTAGCTGCTTACGAATGATCATCTGTTGCATAGATAGGAGCGGTAAAGGAATATTAGTCAAAATTCAAATTTTCTGTGTGGGGTAAAAAAAATTGGAGACTTGCAACAAAAATCGGAGCAATCGGTACTGTAGATTCTTTCACCAGCTCTTTCTGAAAGTGCAAAGTTTGCGCCGATTGAGCGTCTCTATAAAAAAAATTTACGATTTTCGAGCAAGCAATACAAAAGGGCGAATTTGATTTATTTTGGCATTTTTCAGGGGAATCATAACTTTTCATAAAGACGCTCAATGGCGCAAAACTTTGCACAGTTAGAAAGAGCTGGCGAAAGAATCTACAACACCGACTGCTCCGACTTTTGTTGCAGGTTTCCGTTTTTTATGACCCTGCACAGAAAATTCAAATTTTAACCATTTTTCTTCTATCTCTCCTATCTATGCAACGGATGATCATTAGTTAGCAGCTAAGATGTCCTTATAAAGAGCATGACTTACTCTTTTTAATAGAGAAATAAAAAAGCAGTCACGGTTAGAAAAATCAGAAGTTACGAATTTTTGAAAATGGTGCGACAGAACTTTCGTGCCAACCTAATATATAGGCAAGATGTCCTATCAAGCTTACAGAAATGCGAAGCGTTGGCGATTGCCTTAATCATGGGAAATTTTTAATCCGTAGAATGCCAGCAGCAAGTATGTATCTTGGGGGCGTCGATTTCTCTGTCCAGATAATCTAGAAAAATTTGCTTCATGCAATGGGTAAATAATACTCATCTCCTTCAGATGTTATGTTTTCAAAAGCATTCGCTCATTTACCGCCTGTTGTGGCCAAGGATGTTAAAGCAAGGAAGTTTCAATTTTGAGTGCAGCTGTGCGAGATGCTGGTGAAATTTCACAGATGAGATAGAACCTTAATTTTACCACTATGGGAAAGTACATGAAGAAAGCCTTTCAAAGGGTTGTTTTAGACTACCGCACTGACCGCAGCAGACTGCAGCAGACTGCAGTTGACCGCACTGATCGCAACGGCCGCACAGATCGCCGCATCCTTTCGTAAAGGTGGAGAGGATAAATAGTTATAGCTCAAACAATCAACAGCATTATATACCTAGATCATAACAGGTATATACAGTGATAGGGGGCATCAGAACAAATATGAGCACACCATAAATAATAAAAGGATAAAGGATTCGGCGTCGTCAACACCCTCTGTGGGCATGCGCCGAACGCACACTACTTCATAGTCGAAGAGGCAAACGTATGCGTGCGAGCCTATTACAGTGACTTGCGTGGGCCAGCCGATTACCAAGTCAGTGCTTTTATCCTCCCAGATTACTCTGGTACCAATTTACCGGCCCCGGAGGATAGAGGGCTTGGTTGGCCCAAGGGCGGGGATCGAACCTGTGTCCGATCTGGTCAAGGCGGCGCCTCATACCACTACGCCACTCGTCCCACGAGCACACCAAAGAAAGACAACTGCCAAAATTTGATTGAGAAGAGTAGGTCAAGACCTATAAACTTCCTGGGCGTATATCGCGGTATTTTGACGTAATCGCAATTGTTTGCTCTTTTATGAAAGAATGTAGCAATTTAAACGGCCGCTGCGGTCAATGCGGTCAACTGCAGTCCGCAGTCGCCGCGGTCAATGCGGCAGTATGAAACAACTCAAAGATATGCAGAATCTATACCGAGATAGAAATTTTGGGGGAAGAAAGTGGTTTGGAAAGTAGGCCTAGAAAGACGAACATTATTTTTGCACCAACCTAATAGTTTATTTTTCTACAGTCAAACAAGAATATCGTGATAAAGAAGAGCACAAGATATAGCAAGACCATTGTAAAGTACTTCCTTATACTTTCGTTAAAGAAAGGAGACTTTGTTGGAAGCAAAAAAACATGACTGCCTGACCGCTAACTCAAAATAAGATCAGCAGTGCGTTTTTCCTCGAGACAGGGCATTTGAAAGACTTTGGGTTTCATATCGTGCCAAAAACCTGTTAAACTGAATTTTTATTGCTTTGCGTGTGGTGGGATTCGTCTTTTCCTAGGCGCCCAGTTCATCATGAGTTCAAGAACGCGCCCCACACAGATGCCACAGGGTACAGGCTATTGGCTGCATGGCCGTTGCTTGTTGGAACGTCAGACAAGAAAGATACGAAATGGAACTTGTTTAGCGCAGTATCGCACAGATGGCACGTAAGAACTTACGTTTTGGCACTAAGAGTCCCACATACGAAAGATATCCTTCCATAAGCATAGCACATCTCAACATTTGCAACCTGAAGGAAACAAGTAGGCAATAAATAAAGAGGTCATCAAATAAAAAAACGCATGGCCGACATTTTTGTATTATAAAGGGAACACTCTCAAAATTAACTATCCGAATTTCACGAGCCCCTAATGCACTATTTACTTCTTTAAATATGGACAGCTTTGCAGCATTACTGTGTTTAGCGAAGCGGTCGCTCTTTCGCACAACCTTTCTAGATAAGGATATCACGGTAAAAGATAATTTGTCGCTGAATATTTTGGCGTATTCGGGCCGTTTCAGCTTAAAGCCGCAAGCGTCAACATCTCGGTCAGAGAAAGCAATGCAGCATAGTCTGGGTTCATAATGTAACCGGAACCGGAACAGCTCTAGCAGTTTTCCAACTGTGCTGGAACTGTATTGGAACTGCGTTGATGCGTTGCAGCCGCTCCAAGCCGTTTTCGCGGAAGGGAATAAATATTTTCGATAGATTTCAAGCGTTTTTGTTAAAGATCCCACTCACTTTGCCTCAGTCTTCCATCCCGTTTCTCCTCGTAATGATGTAAGTTTCGAACTTCAAGCGGAAATGAAGGATGAAGGGTTAAGGCTTTATATTCCTAGAAAATATGCCTTTGTGCTCTTTCTTTAATCCTTCGTTGTTTTCGTACAATCCATTTAGTCACGCACAACTCACACAACCCACAAGTTGTTGGATGAGCAAAAATAAAAAAAGAGAGAAAAAGTTCGTACGATGTCATATCTTCCGGATACATATCCGGACATGTATGAAGGATTAACTTTAATTCTTTACCGCTCCACATTTTCAGCTATCTCATCACGAGGGGAAACACCCTAGAAAGAATGGGAAAGCATGGGTTGATGAGAAAAGGAGCTGGCGAATCAATAACCACATCTCATTAGGAAACGAGAGAATTCTGCAGATTTTGCACTATACTGATTGATGCCCTCTAGTAAGACAGATAGCTGTGAGGACCTCGCAGATCATCTTTGAATGCAACAAATGACTATAAACTAAAATTACGAAGAGAACAAAGGAGCGCACAAAAGCATATCTCCCACGAGTACACTGATGCCCATCCACGGATAAGGAGCTACACACCATTCATTTTTCAACTTCGTTTCAGATTCGCTGCTTTCATCATAATTAGAAGAAGCGGATTAGAAAGAGGCAAAACAAGCAATAATATGTAAAAGAAAAGGAGCTGGCAACTTTCAAAAACAAGCATTTATTAAAGAACTATGAAAATTCATAATCTCACGGTTTTGAGGTTTGATACACGTCCTATTACAAGGTATACGGGTATAAGGATCATGAAACGTTTTCCTGAAATAGGACAAGAGTGGTTAACAAAAGCCACGGAGGAAGAGGGAAACAGAGCACGAAAGCACATCTCATGCGGATATATGGAGCCCAAACCATTCATTCTTCAACCCCGTTTCAAGTTGGAGACTTAACTCATTAAAGGAAGCGTCCTACCATGTTGAGGTTACTTGGCTTTGGTGTCAGTATAATAGTAGACTCCCAAGCTAAGCGACGACAGAAGTTTGCAGCGCGAAAGGGGTCTACGAAGTCTACAAATCGCCGCCCAAGTTGCCGAATCTTACGGTAGGCCCGAACACAGCCCACATATCATTTTCGAACTGCAAGGTCAAAGCACGCATGTGCATACATTCATGAATGCAGGGTCCTACAACGACTCTGCTTCTCTACCTTGCATGCATCTCGTACTCAGGGCCCGGCACGAGTCCGTTTCTAGGCTTTTCAAAAACGAAGTCCCCCTGACTTTCGAAAATTTTACGAAGTCCTCTTTGACCCCTGCTCTACCCCCCCCCCCCTCCGATTGCTGGTGGACCCTTGCACTAGTTCTTGACAAAGCCATTTACCTGCTGCGAGCTGCGAATCTCGCGATTTCAGGTCAAACTCTCAAGGAAAAACCACAAAATCCACAGAATTTTGCTTCATAAAGCCCTAGGTGGTCAGAGAATGATCAAAATAGATCACGAGCTAAAGAAGGAAGAAGAAGAAAGAAAGAAAATGGAAGAAATCATCAAAATATTGAAAATAAAAGCTAGAATTGAAAATGAAAATTCGAAAGGAAAGGATGCAAAAAAAGTGACGCTGGAGCGCGATATCTAATAGGGCGATCTTCGGAAAAAAAGAGGATAAAAAACGATGGACAGGGGGTGATATGAAAAATCTTTCTATGCTCAGGGATGGATTCTTGGCTGAGGCATCTGTCCATGCTAGAAAGATCCGAAACTTATGTGAAGACGATCTAATTTTGGAAAAGGTATTACTTCACATAAGTTTTCAAATCTTTTTACATAATCCTTCCGCAAATAATTTTTCAATTTTGGTGTTTTATACAGTTCAATTTTGGTGTCATATGATTCTGTTTGCGTTGTAAACAAGCAATTTGTTTATTTTAGCCTTGCTTTCAAATCGCGCGCACCTTTTGCCATACATCATAGAGCATGTCAATCGTGTGATAACCTGTCCAAAAAGCTTGTGTTCGACTAAATGGCGCTTATCCTTTGTGCTCGGCCCCGATCCTTGAAAACGAAATTCCCTTTGTTTTTTGCTTCAAAAACGAAGTCCAGCCTGCTTCCAGACGATCTGTGCCGAACCCTGCTCGTACCCGCCCGAGCTTATCGTAAGATTCGAGCCACTTGGAGGCGATTTGTAGACTTCGTTGACCCCTTTCGTGCTGCAAACTTCTGTCGTCGCTTGGTCTACTATCACATTAATACCAGAGCCAGGTACCCCCCCCCCCCCCCGCCCCAATCTGGTGGGACGCTGCCTTTGAGGAGAAGCGGGGTGATAGAATGATAGAATGATAGAATGACGTCAAGAAGAGTGGAATTTCTAAAAAATGCTTAGTAAACTCTAAATCCCAAAAATTTCCATCTCCCGCCGCGCAAAACCACATGCCGGAAGCTGCAGCGCATGCAACACAGTTATGGAACAGTTCCAGTAGAGAACTGTGCTGGAAGGTTCCGGAACTCCTGTTTAGTATGAACCAAGCTTCAGAAAATGGCCCAAAGCTTTAGCTTCATGCAAGCTGTTATCCATCCGTAAGTATTCCCGCTATCCTTTATAAATACATCGATTAGAGCGCCCTTGTATGAACTGCATTTTCCAGCTTTTTGTACAATTCCCACGTCATCTCCAGCTGACGTCCTCTTCTTTGGAATCAATTTTTTCTTTGAAGTCAAACATACAAAAGTTACTAATCATCTAACAGCAGTGCCAAGCATGTTTCTAAGGTGGCGAACAAGAGACTGGGGTGTCAATAACCGCGCTCTTTCTCCCTCATTTTGTCTATGCAAGCGCAAATGTGGAGCAGTTTTTATGATTCCAGCTAGAGTGCGAAGTTAAACTTCGTCTGGTTGAGAATTTATAATAGTTGTGAAAACGTTAAAGACAGCGTCCCATTAGACTGGGGGGGGGGGGGGAGGTACCTGATCTGGTAGTAATGTAATAGTAAACCCCCTAGCTAAGCTACACAGAAGTTTGCAGCGGGAAAAGGGGACTACGAAGTCTACAAATTGCCCCCGCCCAAGTGGCCCGGATCTTAAAGTAGGCTCTGACGAGTGCGAGATGCATGCAAGGTAGAGATGCAAAGTCGTTGCGGGACCCTGAGTTCATAACTGCGTGCGCTATGCGTGCTCTGGCTTCAGTTTGAAATTGCTGTGTGGGCGGCGCCTGGGCCTACCGTAAGATCCAGGGCACTTTTGGAGCAAACTTCAGACGTGGTAGACCCCTTTTTCACTCCGAACTTCAGTTATCGCTTCGGGGGTCTATATACTTTAACATAGCCACAAAAACCTGGCATCCATCTTTTTGCCGGGACGCTGCCTTTAAAAAGGGACGGAAGTGAATTGCATACCTCACGTTTATCCTTGCAATGCATTACTGCATTTATCACCGGGTTAACAAAACTCATCAGTCAAAACATACATCTCAACTCTACTTGTCACACTCGCACTTTGTGAGGCGAAAGGTGCATCACCATGCATCAAGAGCAGTAGCTGGCCATTTCCGTTACTCCTTTTGCATTACAATCGGAAAATAATAGTGCGCCTTGTATTTGTGAAACTTTTCACATCCAAAGTTTTTTTTTGTTTTCTTCTTAACTTTAACCATAACTTTGTCAATATGTAGGAATTCCAGAGACGATTTGTGTTAGAAAGTGAAGCTTGTGCTCATCAAACGCGTGTTTAGTGTCTACAACGATTACAAAGTTACCGATTTCTCACAAAAGAATTCATCGAATCTAAATTCGAAAACTTCTGTATTGTGATATTCCTGGATTGAGTCGTGATGCAGTAGAACAAGTTGCAAGAACTTAAGCATGTAAGCTGTTTTTCTGAAGACGAGAGTTCTAAAACCGCGTCTTTAGCAGTCTATGGGACAAGCGAATTTCAGTCTTTTTTCTGCGGTTCTGAAACCGCGCAAAAAGAATGAAATTGTGTGATCGGGTTATTTTTTACCAGACTATTATCGAAAATTAAGACTCAAAGGGCAGTGCCTCGGCAGTATTTGTCTTTTAGTTTTTCACCTTTTCGGAGCCTTTTCTCCATGAGGAATCCGAATCTGGGCTTTTCAGTGCATGAAAAGGGTAAAATGAGCTTTTCCGAGGCTTTCCAGGTCCGCATTCAGTGGAGAACATGTGTAAGTGGGCGGAACCCGGAACAAGGGAAGCGGGACGCGAAAAACCTGCGTATATTCCTAAATGCCGGCCTGGAAAGCTCCGGTAAAACTGTTTTTTTCTTCCTATTTTCATGCGTTGAAATAAGTATGGATTCCTTATGGCGAGAAGGCTTCGAAAAGTTGAGAAGCTCGAAAACGAAATTCTGCCGAGACACTGCACGATCTTCCGCGATGCTAAATAGCCCAGAGCTGGATAGAGGAACGAAGGCGGCCAGTTTGGACCGCCTCCGCGAACCGCTGGTCCTGGAACGATCTGCAACAACATTGCAAAAGGACCAGTTGGCCGCGAACGACGACTTAAAGGCAGTGGATCAGCAAAATCCAACAACTCAGGATATTGACGCGGTGGGTTTCTTATCGCTCATGTACAAAAACAGTGCAATCCCGGTTGCGCAGCATGCTTTCCTGCCGAGAAAATCTCTCCGAAACTTACACGCGTAAGCCAATCTTACACGCATTTGGACGGGTTGGCAATTTCCTTCTCACCATTGGAGGCTGCCCGCCGCAACGCTATAACCATTGGGTCCTGCAACGATTTAACGTCATGGTCTTGCTCCACTCGTCCAATTCCAAAGGGAAGGGCATCAAAAGAACGCTTATTTTCGCCGTTTTCAAGCTTTCAAAAGTGGATTTTCGGGATCAGCGTATTGAAAAACCCCAGGTAAGCGCAAATTTGACTCGGTTGAGATTTGCCGAGCCACTGCCTTTAAACTGGCACCCTTCGTTCCCGTACCTCCCAGAGCTTTCTTTGAACTTTCATTTTTCAACTTGGTAAGGACGCTTCGCAAAGTTGCAGTACTGAGAAAATATGTCTCATCAGTGTCTCGATATTTCATGTGCAACAGATTGGATATGCTTGAATTATACAAATTCCAATCTTTTTCCTGCGGTTCTGAAACGCAGCAAAAAAGACTGAAATTGTACATTGCATAAAGGTTTTTAAGGTTTTTAGATTATTATCGAAAATCAAAATTGAAGCCAGTGTCTCGATAGAATTACGCTGTTCAGTTCTTTATCTTTTTGGAGCCTTGTCGCCATGAGGAACCCATATCTGGGCTTTCAAGCGCATGGAAATGGCGAAAACGAGTTTATTTTCGATGCTTTCCAAGTCTGCATTCAGTGTAAATAGGGCGTAGGTCTTCCGCACCCGACCTAACTTGTTTCTAACTCCGCCCACTTACCCTCGATTTCGGCCATGTGTCTTCACTCAACATGACGTGGATTACATAGATTGGTGAGGCGCCGTCTCGCTTCGGGCTTGCGTCAATTGCGGGCACCTCGTTTGGCATGACGTGACGTGACTTTCCCACGTTGTTCTTGCTGCCACAATACGCCAAAGATGCGCACGCCACGTGCTGCATGTCTGAAGCAAGTGGTCCCTCATCAATCCATGTAATCCACGCCGTGGGCACACGTATTTTCCACTGGATGAGGATGTTTCGAAAAAACATATTTTTGCCATTTTCATACGCTAAAACCGCAGATGTATTCTTCATGGCGAGAAGGCTTCGAAAAAGTGAAAACTGGAAAGAGTATTGCTAGGACACCGCCTTTAAGCGTGCTTTAGAAGTTTCTTAATAGTCACGTCAAAGAAACGACTTACTCTTTAGAGTAGAATTTTCGTGATAGCATTACGTCTACGACTCGTAGGGGTCTTCCATCTTCAAGAATAAAAACATCCCTGAATTGTATAGAAGATTGTATTTGAGAAATGTGGTCTGCCGCTTTAGAATCAATAACTATAAGATTCTCATATGATATATCGACAGTTTGAGACCCGTATAAATGATAACTATTGACGCAAGAAGACCTTCGCCGCCCATGTGGCTGGGTGCGAGAAGACACTAATGCTATCCCTTCCGTTTAAGCGGCGCTTATTTTTTTGCTGCTGGGACTCATACATGCGAGTTCAAATGTTTGCTCACACTTACCAGCCACTTACCACTTAGCAACTTTGTCAATGATCTTAGTGTTGGAAACGTTCGCTGCTTTGCTGCGTGGTTGAAGCGTGCACTAATGTTGATCTAAAGACACCTGCATTCACCATTGTTTTTTTCACAAGCTTCTCATAATTTTCAGAATCAAAAATGTGTGGCAGAGAAAAAAACTATAGCATAAATCCCCGCCAACCCCAATCATACTCTAGCACAGCATAATGCATACCTTCCTGGTATGCGAAGTTATCAACAACCGCGCCTTAATCAGGCGGCACTTGTGACAAATAATAACAGTCCAATTGACACTATTAGTACTGGAAACAGTGCTGACAACTTATGGCCTCACCCTCAAACTTCAACTAACTGCCAGGCGATTTAGGCCTTCTAGTTATTTATGTCATAATCACAGAAGTCGACCCTGCGGTGGTTATGGGATTCCATTCGAAAAAGTGGACGCCATGACCTTAGTGCGAATCCATACTCCTTATATATAAAGCTGAATGTCTGTTTGTCTGCCTGTCTGTATGTATGTCTGTCCGTATGTACGTATGTTCCGAACAGAAATTTTTATTTCTGAACCGATCCAGACCAAACTTTGCACATATACACTTGGTGTCGGGCGGGTGTCATAGGCCACTTTTCGTCGTCGATCGAAATCGATTTTATCGATTTTTTAAAGCAAAGTTTGAGCTACGGGGCTGGGAGTTGGCACAGGGGGGTAATCGAGCATGGCGATTCCGAATACAATATTACTTTTCAGAATTATCGACTACTTTTATCGATTTTATCGATTTTTTGCAAATTTTGAGCTACGGGGCTGGGAGTTGGCACAGGGGGTAATCGAGCGTGCTGATTACTAAAACAGCGGGAATAATGAATTGGCATGTAGGCAGGGAAAGGTTGCACTGGGATAAGGATGAGAGCTTTATCATAGCGTTTTGACAGGGCCGGGCGGAGCCGGGTAAGCTGGCTAGTTATACAATAAAAGTGAGAATTCCTCCTGAAAAGTTGGAATATCTATGCACTGTGGGAGATCTCAGCCCTCTGTATTCTCCATCCTCAGCGGATTTTTGAAGGATAAATGAATTCCTGATTTAACGTAGCAAATTGGCCCAAGTAAGCAAAAAGCTAAAGTGTAGTTTCTGCCCTGATACTTCTTTTGAGCATGGAGTACGACAGTAGACGGATGTAGAATAGTCAGTTGATGCGAATAAATATTGCGTGGTTGTTGCGCTTTTGAGCATAATAGGTTGTACTAGGGCCCGGCACGAGGTGGGCAAATGACAAGCTGGAAATCGTTTTTGATGAAGAAGCAAGGGGGAAATCGTTTTGCGGGATTCGGGGCGGATCCCCGGAAGAAGATTCCAAGTGCAACCAAAAGAAGGTTGAATCATGCTTATTATCTTATACATCTAATTAATTGGGAAGTAGTTTCTATTGTCTCAACGCACAGCAGAGTTCGCGCTACGCCGTTTCGCCGCTAATGCCGCGTGCGCGACGTCGCATAAGCGATGCCGTTGAACAGCATGATTACATGATCAGTTCTCAATGTATGCGTAACGATATAGCACCAAACTATGTAAGCTAACAAAGATAGGCTAGGAGAAACAAAGTATGAAATATTATGACAAACTTATGTGAATGGAAGGTGTAATAAGCATTTTTTTCAAAAATTCAAAATTGGTAAACAAAGATTTGAATTCAAATGGCTCGTTTGCAGCGCACGGATGACATACGGCATGAAACTTGTTAATTACATGAACACGGGCCTGCAAGGCTTAACTTAGAAGTTTCACTGAAAAATTATGTGACTGAAGGTTGTGGGAAGCTTTTTTTGAAAATTTCCCACTATCAAGGAAATGGAAAAATGACTCGTTTGCAGCGCAGAGGAAACGAAATTGCGCGAGACTTGGTGTGTATGCGCGCAGAAGGACTGAAGAACAATGTATGAAAAATTACGAAAAACTTATGTGAATGGAGAGCTTGCCCAACTTTTTCCAAATTAGGTGGGCAATTGCCCACCTAATGCCCACCCGAGGTGGGCAAAACTTCCGTCTCACATAATTTTTCAAACATTTTTAGATAAATCTTTTCTACATCTAAACTTTACTCTATGGTAGAATTTGGGTTTCAAAACTCGCCCTGTCCTCTTTACCATAGTCAAATTAGAATCAGCGGCACCCTTTTTTATTGAGGAAAGCGCGCCCCAATCGATCGATATGCGCGGGAACGGCGTCACTCAGTCCTATAGCCAGTCTCTCATGTTTTTCCTTGTATTACCTTGTAGGACAGCTATTTTAACGTCGTTTTGTATTTTGTTTTCTCTCTAAATGTCAGTGGATGATTTATTTCTTGGCAAAGAATTCGGCACCGCAGGCTTCGCCCGAAAGCACTCGGAAGCGCCCATACTTCTTTGATCTCTCTTCATATCATCTCTCTTAACAAATTTTCCGCTTGCATGTTAACGTGCTGGCCTTTAGACTAGCGTGAACGCGTGAAGTAAGGAAGGTGAAAAGAGAATAGAATAATTCAAGCGCTTTTGGGCGCTTTGAGCAACGTTTGGCCGGTGCCTGTGTTACACAAGCACAAAGCATCGTTTTTGGGCTCAAGGGGTATTCGTAAAAAATGTTGGGATCAAAGGGGAATTCGTTTCGGAAAACCCCATTTGCCCACTTCGTGCCGGGCTCTGGGTTGTACGGGAACTTCTGACCCTTGATTAATTACTCGATTTCCTATTGAGATCTAAAGCAGGAATCGCGGGAAAGACGAACACATCTCTGCTTTACCACCGATGCAATTGATGATATAGTTCGATTGCGTTACTGATGACAGGAATGCCAAAACCATACTAGACAAAAACGGCTTATTATTTGCAACGGTCAAGCTTCGTTTTCCTTCAAAAGCGGTTTAGCGCTTCAAACTTTCGCAGAAAGGTACCTTTTTGGAGCGCTACAGTGTGCAATTGATTTTGTAGATGGTCATGTTTACATTTTCGACAAGCGAAAGTAGACTACTTTTATCTTAGACAAATCACCGAAACCAGAACTCGACACGAGCTGGCACCAGGTAATTTTCAAAACGAAGTCCCGTTTGATCTTGAAAATTTCGTACGTAATCTCCTTTGACCTGTTTTGAAGACCCGTCACTATTTCTAGATTATGTAAAAGTACATAGTAGGGTTTTCATGCATGCTCATTTCATGGAACAGCTTTCTGAGTTTTTAAGTGGTTGAATCACATCTTGAGAAGCAGAAAAAGCCGATTTTTTCGACTGCGGAGCAGACCGAGTAATTTTCAGATGGCTATAAAATGCTGAAAAGAAAACATTATAAAAATGCTTCTTTTCTGTATGTAAACTTTTGCAGTGTAAATACATTTTATGTGAAAAAGTACGAAAACTTATATGAGCAAAGTGTCGGTGCCAGCTCAGCTGGCACCCGGTGCCAGCTAATTCAGAAAAAAGTTCAGCACAGCTTTCATTTACATAAGTTTTCATAAATTTTTGGGCCATAGTTTGGGTCCCCCCATCGCGCATGCACACACCCAATTTGGTGTCATACTATTGCATTTTGGCTGGAAACAACGCAGTTGTTTGTTTGATGCACATCATGCCGCTGGCATGCCGGCGGCATTTTTGCGGCTCTTCTCCACCCCGGTCCCCTGAAAACCAATATCCTCTTTGCTTTCCGCCCTAAAAACGATATCCAGCTTGACCCGGTGCCAGCTGTGCCGAGCCCTGACCGGAACTTCCGCAGGACAAGCCAAATTTGCGAAAGTTCCGCAGGATTTTGTTCATACTGCAAAACCGTTTTTATAATTGTAAATCGAAACTTTCGCGGGATTTTCATGCCAAAGTGGTTGAAAACCGGAAATTCCGCTGAACCTTCTTCATAATCCTGCGAAAATTCCGAAAAATGCCAGAAAAACGAAGCACTTTGGCTCGCCAGATCTTCCGCAGGACTTTGAATGTGTTGTCTCGTGATGTTGCCTCGCCAACAACTAGAGTGCATTATCGAACATGTCAGCCTTAGGGTAGACAATAGGAGGTGGGTCTTACAGTCAATAGAGTGAGGTTCAAATTTCGCTTCGGTGTTCTCTTTTGCTGTTGTAATTGGCATTCTCCGGAACTTCCGCAGAACCTCATCTCGGAACTTCCGCAGCGCGTTTACGGAACTTCCGCAGGTGACCCGGCGGAACTTCTGCAAGCGCTCTGCGGAAGTTCCGGTCATTTGTCTGAGATTACAGAACTAGCGAAACAAACCGAAACCTTCTCTGGCAATCTACTCCCGTGTTGATCAATCACCCATTTTGCTATGTGAGCAGATTGCGAGCAACTACGCTTGTCCTACGTGTAGAGCCCGTTTCTTACAACGTAGTCTTCTGTGCTTTTTCTAACTATACATTGAAACCGTTGCTCAGTAAATGTTTTTATGCTCCGCAGTATGGCAACACTGACTCTAAGACATAAGAAAAGCATAACGCTGTTTTGATTTTACGCAGTGTTGTATATACGGTATGGTTTGCCAGTGAGCATGATGTACTCAATGTTCTTCTTTCCGGCTCAAATCGACATTTCGCAACCCTCCCCCTCCTCATCCCCCTTCTTTTCGTTTACAGACTTGTGGTGCTGATATGATCATTTATAGGATAAAGGCCTGCTCACCGCCATGGGCACTCCTGATGGCCGGTAGTTGTGCGAACGAGTTTGTTTTTAGAGCTGCTTCAATGAACTATTCAACAATTGA